GGGCTGGCAGGAGGCAGAATTGGCCTCTGAACAACCCCCTGAGGGGGGGCGGAGCCATTGTGGGGCACATGTGGGAGTTGAGATAAGGGTGGTGCTTTAGGCAGGTGACCCACTATTTAGAAACTTCCGGACAGGGCCTGGGGATGGGGCCTCAGAAGAGAGGCCAGCAAGGAAGGTGCTTATTGCGGGTGGGACCTGAAGAAGGCGGGACCTGTAGGGCAGGTGCTTTGTTTGGGGCTGCAGGGGGAAATCTGCTGACAGGAAGCATGGAACTTTCCAGAGAGAAGGGACAGGTTGGTTTGTGGTCCCAGGTAGGATCCATGGGGCCTCAGAATAACACCAACACTAGCAGTAATGGCTGGCATCAGCTGAGCACCTTGAAGAAGTAGGCACCGTGCAAAGCGCTTTACCTACATACTTTCACTTAATTCTCACAACTCGATGAGGTGGATACTGTTTTTACCTCCATTTTACAGATGGGGAAGCTGAGGTCCAGAGAGGTGAAGCCCCTTGCCCAGATTGTATGGCTCATTGATTCAGCCCTTAACTTCCAAGTTTCCCGGGGCCCTTAAGGATCCCCCGCCCGCCCCCCTTCCACACGCCAGCCCTGGCTTGGGTGACCCCCTTCTCTACCCCTCCCCATCCCATGCTGCAGGTGATGCAGATGACCCTGAACACCATGACCTGGCGTCGGAGGGAGATGGTGCGCTGGCTGGTCAGCTGTGCCACGGAAGTCGGTGAGAGTCCCCAAGGGGACCCGCCACCCACCTCCCGGTGGAACTGGGCAGGCATGAGGGAGAAGCAGAGCCATTTCCCCGACTCCAGCCTGTGCTCAGGCCTAGGCCAGGAGGGAATGTTGGGAGGGGGGACCGAGCTGGACAAAGACCTGGAGTCTGGCTAGGCTGAAGTGGCTTGGAGAAGGGACAGTCCCTCCAATGCCTAGCCCCCACCCCCCAGATCCCACCCAGCCCAGCTGCCCTCTCCTCCCTTGGAAAAGTAAAGTGAAGTTTCTGTCAAGCCAAGAGTGGCGGTAGAGGGGGTACAGCTCTAGCCTTGGCTGGTGGGGATAGTAGGTCGGGATAAACCCATGCACACAGGGTAGCCCCCTGTCCCATTCCTGACCAGTGTCACCCTGTCCTCTCCCACAGGCGTGCAAGCCCTGATGAACATCATGCAGAACTGGTACTCCTTATTCACACCGGTGGAGGCAGCCACCATCGTGGCAGTGACGGGCACCACCCATGCCACGCTGTTGCGGCTGCAGCTGGATGCGCCCCGGCGGGAGGAGCTCTGGGCATGCGCCCGCACCCTGGCCTTACAGTGCGCCATGAAGGACCCGCAGAACTGCGCCCTACCCGCCCTCACCCTGTGCGAGAAGAACCACGCGGCCTTCGAGGCGGCCTACCAGATCGTGCTGGACGCCGCGGCCGGAGGCCTGGGCCACGCCCACCTCTTCACCGTGGCCCGCTACATGGAGCACCGCGGCCTGCCGCTGCGGGCCTACAAGCTGGCGACGCTGGCCCTGGCGCAGCTCAGCATCGCCTTCAACCAGGACAGCCACCCGGCCGTCAATGACGTGCTCTGGGCCTGCTCGCTGAGCCACTCGCTGGGCCGGCACGAGCTCTCCGCCATCGTTCCCCTCATCATCCGCAGCATCCACTGCGCCCCCATGCTCTCCGATATCCTGCGCCGCTGGACCCTCTCGGCGCCCGGCCTGGGGCCCCTCGGGGCTCGCCGGGCTGCCAAGCCGCTGGGCGCCGACCGGGCGCCGCTGTGCCAGCTGCTGGACGCGGCGGTGGCCGCCTACATCACCACCAGCCACTCGCGCTTGACGCACATCAGCCCGCGGCACTACGGCGACTTCATCGAGTTCCTGGGCAAGGCCCGCGAGACCTTCCTGCTGGCGCCCGATGGGCACCTGCAGTTCGCCCAGTTCCTGGAGAACCTCAAACAGACCTACAAGGGCAAGAAGAAGCTCATGCTCCTGGTGCGGGAGCGTTTCGGCTGAGGGGCAGCTGGCAGGCGGTGGGGACATCCGCCTTCGCCCCTGCTTCTGTGGCACCCGCCCTCCATCACGGGCCTCAACACTGGAGGCCTATGTGGCATTTCAGTATTAAGTCAGGGAAGGAGCCCGGCTGCAGCTGGGTGGTCTGGCCTGCCATCCCCTCCAAGCCCAGAAGGAGGTGGGAAGCAGGGGGTCGCATCCTGCCACATGCGTGCCTAGGGCACATGCGTGCCTAGCGAGTGTGCAAGACGCAAGGATCAGAAGCCATACCACCACCCAGAGGCCTGGAAGGGGGTGTGTGCTTGTGCAGCCGGTATGACCCCACCCTGAGCACCCCAAAAGCAATAGGCAAGCTCTCCCTCCCCAAACCCACAGGTCTCCCTTGGGCTGGGGTGGATGAGCTGGGAGGCAGGACTTTCCAGAAACTGGCTCTCAGAGTCAACGTAGCAGACCCTCCCTGCAACCAACTCTGGGTGCCCGGAGGGCTTGCGTTAGGGCATCTAAACTCCTTTTGTACCCTCCCCTCACTGCCTCAGGGGTCCCACCCGCAGGCCTGCGCCCCCTCCAGGCTGCAGAGCTGGGACCAATGGCTCACCCCCACTGAAGGATTTGAAGAGGCTTCAGGCCTCAGCCACATACCTCACCACCCGTCCCGCCAGGACTCCCATTCCCTTGGGTGCCAGGGTCCCAGGGTGGGCTGGGGGCTCATTACTGTCCCTCCCCCTACCTGCTAGTCACTGGACATACAACTCAGGAACCGAGCCAGGCTCACACTGTCCTCCAAACCTGGTGTGTGTGGGGGATCCAAGCGCAGGCAAGCCAGGGACCCCCCCCTTCCCCCTGATCTAGAAAGGAAAGAGGCCAACATCTTAGCATTTTTTGGCCCTCTGTCTCTCCCTTTCTGATCCTCTGCCTCCCTGCTCTGCCCTTCGTCTTACTCCCCCTTCCCATATTTCTCTCCATCTAGCCTGTCTTTCTATTTGCATCCCCAAGTCCCAGCTGCTGTCTCTCTTTGGCCTCCCTTTCCCCCACCTTGGCCCAGGGAGGAGAGTGTCCCACCCCACAATCACCCTCCTCTATCTTTTCTCCTCTTGTAATTAAGTACAAAGATTACCACATTTTGTAACTTTTTTCTATTTATTGAACCATATATTGTATTTCCTTTTTTTTAAAGGTTGAACACAGCTTGTTCTTTTTAATTTTATTTTGAGACTAAGGCATGTTCTGCCCCCGCCCGCCGCCGCCGCCATTGTGGCCCCCTGCCAGGGCTTCCTTTCCCCCCCCCACAGAAAATCTCCAGCCTCTTCTCTGGGTACAGCTTCAAGTGAGGGGTGCAATGGGAGCCACTGCTGGTTTCCTCCAGTGGTGACAGTATGGATGATAGCAGACAGGGAGAGAGAGCTCACTATGAGCAAGCCGGGGGCTGACACCTGCGCTTTACACCTGTCATCTGTTACAACACCTGTCATAACAGCGCTACGAGTCGGTAGGATTAGCATTCCTATTTTACAGAGGAGAAAACTTGAGGCTCCAAAGTTTAAGAAAGGGCACTCAGTTTTAGAAAGCGACAGAGCTAGATTTAGTACCTTGCTGGGGTAGGGCCACTGATTGCTCGCCCCGGGCTGCATGGGGCATGCAGCGGTGGGAATGGCCACTAGGGGGTGCCCTGGCTCCAGCACTAGCTATTGGAGTCAATTGCAAGTTTCTGAGCACGGGACGGTGGTGCGTGTCAGGTGCTGGGTGCAGCTGGGTGGGGAAGACACGCCCCCCAAAGGTGGAAACTCGGCTTAGACAAGGCCTTGGTGGGTGAGGTGAGTGGGGGGGCGTGTCTGGGCTCCTACACCGCGGATGAGGCTCCCAGTCCCCAAATAGAGTGAGGGATCTGGAGGATGGCAACAAGGCCCTTGGTTGCCTTCCTTTACTGGCTTCCTGCCTTTAGAGAGTGACGAACAGAGGGACAGACTGTCTGGGTCACCATCAGGGCCGGGGCAGGCGAGGACAGAGGCTTCCCGGAGGGGCGGGGCTCAGAGCGAGGCTGGGCGGAGCCGGCCGCTAGAGGGCGCCGAGGGTCCGCGCGCAGCAGTAGGCGGGCCTTCGGTGGCGGTGGGCCTGGCGATTGGTTCGTGGCTCCTCCCTGCGCTGGAGGGAACCAGTTGGAGGCGGTCCCACCTCCTGCCCCGCCTCACGTATTCCCGCAGGTATGTGCAGGGAGACCCCCCGCTGACCCGCACGCTCCTTAGTGCCGCCTGGAGGCCTGGGAGGGTAGGAGTGGCAGTTCTGAGCACTCTACATCAGCTTTGGCCCTTGTGGTCCCAGCTCCCTCCAAACATCCTCAGACCTGGGGTGCCCCTTACCGTGCCCCTCACCTCTCAAAGTCATCTACAGATGTTCCCCACAGACCTAGGGCGTGACTCAGGTCCCAGTCACAGCCAGATGTCCCCCTTGGGCCCACATACACACCTCAAGCCCAAGTTCCCCACCAGCCTTCTCAGATACCACACACCCCAAATCTTACCCCCAGCCCCAGTTGTCCCTTATGTCTAAATCATCCCCAAATGTCACTAGATCAAAACCTTCAGGTCCCAGTTATCCCCAAATGTCCAGTGTTTCCCTTAGGGTCACCCCCAGCCAGCAGCTTAGATTGGGTCCCGTTCTCTCCCACGCCCAGCCCTGGATGTGGGGCATGCCTCATCACGATCCCATCTAAGTCCCTCCAAGAAGAGTCCTCCCTGTCACCACACCACCCCTGAAAGTCAGTCCCTCCAGCCCAACACCCATCCCTAGGACACTCCTCAAGGTCACCTTTCCATGACAAGGGCACCCTTTCCGCCCATGTGACTAAATTATCACCTTCCTCAGAGCAGGCGGATGGGGATCCTGTGAAGTCAGGAGCCCAGGATGCCAGGACAGTAAATTCAGACCAATCAACCCTCCCCAGTCAAAAAGCCAGAAGCTCCAGGGTTGGAGGCCAGAATAAATCACGAACCACCAGACCTTCAGGAATGAGGCAGGGGGCAGCTTTTATTTAATTGGACAACAGGCTCGACACACAGCATAGACTTTCCCAAGCTGCTGTCTGCCCCAGTGGGACAGGGGTACACTGAGACAACTCGGGGGGGGGCTTCACACTGCCTCCCCAGTCTCACCCCCAAAAGAGCCCCATTCCATCTGATGATGGACAAAGTCTCAATGCATCCATGCCCTGGGACCACCCAAGGACTGAGCGGGCCTGTTTGTGTCCTTTGGGCCCACAGGGACCTCATTCCCTGCCCCACGTGCCAGGAGGGTGTCATGGCTCCTCCCCCCCAAGTTAGGAAGCCGCAGACCCAGGGAGAAGGGGCCAGGCAGGTTCAGGTCAGGCCAGCCTGGTTCCGGAAGCCTGGAGTTGGCATTTAACGGTCTGGGGGCCCAAGGCAGCTTCCTCTTGGGTAACTGACTGCTGGGAAGATGCGAGCCAGCCATCCCCCAACCAAGCTTGGGAGAGGAGGGGCCGAGGGTCGGCCAGGCGGGGACACTTTTTTTCATGGAAAGGCTGGCCACCCGCCTGCCTACCCATCCTCCCTGGGAACACAGCCCAGCCTGAGATGGGACTGAGGGTCCCCAAGTGCAGAACTGGAGGAGGGGGCCTGCAGCAGACAGCGGGGTTGACCCATCCCACCCCAGGCTCCACTCGTCCCCAGGTTCCTCCTCCAGACACAGGTCCAGGGCAGGGTCCTCATCTCTTCTCACAGGAGGCGAATGGCCCACCCAAGGCAGGCGGGGGCCGAAGACTCCAAGGGGGCTTGACTCCTGTTCCTGCTGAACTGAGCCAGTCTGCACAAATCAACTGTGTTTCAGCTCAGTAGGCACGGGAGGCAGAGCCCAGGGAGGCCCGGAGGTCGGACAGGCAGGCGGAGGGGAGAGGTGGCAGGGCCAGAGGAGGCGGGGCCCCGGGGGGCGGAACTTAGCCACTGTGAACACGACTTGCTGTGGACCTGCTCACAAGCAGCTAAGCCCTGCTCCCCAGGCCAGACGCAGGCGGCGGAGGCCTCTCTGCCACCCCATCCCCATCCCTGGGTCAGTGTCCTCAGCGGAAGCAGTGACAGCGGTGGCCCCAGAGGCAGGGCTCAGGGTCGGTTGGAAATCCCTGGCAATGTGATTTGTGACAGGCAGCAAATCCCATCCCCAGGAACCCCAGCCGGCCATGGCACAGGGGTGGGGGGGCACCGGGCAGGGCCAGCAGCTGGCACCTAGGAGAGACAAAAGGAGGTAATGAGATTTGAGGACATCTGCCCTCCAGGTCCCCACTTGCTGCCATCCTTTGAGGTCTTGCAGGGAAGCCCTTTTTCCCCACGTGCAGCAGCCACTAAAGAGAGCTAGACCACCAGGCTGGATACCCCCAGCCCCAGCCATGCCTCCCGGGCCCAGAGAGGTATAGACACCCAGAGGGTCACTTTCAGCCAAGGAGCCTGCAGGAGCTCCCAGAGCCAGGTCCCCCCTCCCTTTCCTCACCACTGAGCCCTGGGCAGGCTAACTGGGGCCACGGGGAGAGGAAGCTGAGGGGGTGGCGGGCAGGAGGGTGAGGAAGTGATCTCACCCCAGCTGGCGCCACTTCCTAGAAGCCTGAAGGGCAGGAGGAAACCACCAGGGCCACCCCGCGTGGCCCTGTCTCCTTGGTGGTCAGGCCTCAGCCCGCACCCCACCAGAGTGAGCGGATGCTGGCAGCGGGCGCCCAGGTCTCCCCCGAGGCATGCGCGCCCCCAGAGCACCGGACCCAGGCTCGAGGTGCAAATTCCAGCTCGGCAGTTTCCCAAATGCCCTCCAAGCCTCAGTCTCCCCATCTGTAAAATGGAGCCAAGAGTCTCTATCACATAGCATGGTGAGGTTTCACCAAGAGTGCTGCCTAGCAAGTACCTGGCACCGAGACCACCTATAGCATTTGTGGGACTCAGGGCAAAATGAAGACTTGGGGCTCCCTGTTCACAAATTAAGAATTCCAAGACGACAGCAGAGCATGAACCCAAGCTCCAGGTCCTTCTCAGTGGCGGGTGACCCTGTGAATGGCACAGGTCACATGCCCATGAAGCCAGTCCTGTGTTCAGTAAACAGAGACCTCCCGTGTGATGAGAGCCCTGCGGCTAGGAGATCCAACTCTGGAGCCAGTCCAGCTGCATATGAACCCTGGCTCTGCAGCTTCCCAGCTGGGTGACTCTCAAGTCACTCAGTCTCTCTGGGCCTCCGTCTCCCCATCAGCAAAGCAGGGATAATGTCATGGTAAGGATCCCGCGAGTGCTGTGTGTAATTAGAATGGGGCTACTCTGTCACCATTCACCAGGCATAAACAGGAAGGATGATGGCACGGAAGACGCTGCACACGGGTAGGACCCCAGTGTCCAGATCTGGTAGGTGGTGGCCGCCACGGGGAGACAGGTGGAGTGAGGTGTCCTGCTCTGTGCCTCCTCCATACACACACACATACACACCGGCCACCCGCTTTACGGTCGGGCCCTAGCCCAGCCCTGTTCCCTCAAGGTTTAGGGGCACCAACCGGGAGCAGACAAGGCCCCGCAGGGCGGCCGGCCTCCCTGGGCCGCCTCCGGAAGTGAGACAGCACATTCGTGTCCCAGGGACGAGAACGGGAAGGGCGGCCATTTGGCCAGGCCCGTTTCCTGTGGGGTTTCCCCTGCACAGAGCCCCGGGCCGGGGCCAAGGCCACTCCCCATCCCCGCAGGCGCAAAAGGCCTGGTTCTCGAGTGGAGGGGGCACCGTCATGCAGGTGCCCAGAAGCAGGGCCCCCGTTACCATAGGCGTGTCTCTCAGGCTCTGGGGAGATGGTGTCCAAGGAGGGCCAAGCTCCTGGCAGCTGGAGGCATTGTGGGGAGGAAGGGCCCTGGGCCCAGGGAGCACAGCAGGCCCCAGGCCACACCGATGGATGGATGGATGTATGGATGTATGTCTGAGTACGCTCTGCAGACAGGGCGTGGACTCGTGAGACATACTCTGTAATGCCTGCCCCCCCGCCAACCCCATGCTCCAAGAATGAATCAGGGGCAGCTTCCGCCGGGGGCGCCACCACCACCGCCCCCAAGCCTGGTCCCCAAATACTTTCCACCCTCTCAGAGCAGCTGGGATCGGAAAATACCAAGGGCTGCAGGCCCCGCCCTGCCCGCTGCTGCTGCCCGCCCTCCCAGCCTGTCACTAACGCTTTGCCTAATGGGCCCAGACTCTCCGCAGAGGCTCCCGGGGCCAGGCCCTGAGCCAGCCGCTAACCTGGGCTGCCCAGCCAAGTGCTGCCTGACCACCCGCCCCCCACCCCTCACCCCCAGCCCAACGTGGCCACCATAACAACCGGCCCGATGGGCAGCCCTCAGAGGTTGGCGCCCGGCTGGAGGGAGGCAGGGCACTGGTAAGTGGGTGGGCCCCGCTGCCCACCCAGGGCTCGGGGGAGGGGGGCAGGCTCAGGAAGGGGTGAGTAAGTGAGGACTGAATCACTTGTTATAAATAGGGGAACCGTGCAAGTCACATCCCAGCCCCCATGGTGCCCAGCCACGCCACGCTCCAACCCCTGCCTTCAACTTTACTCCCCCTCGGACCAGTCACAGAATTCCCAGGGGACCCCTGATAGCCACACTTTGGGCCCTTTACTGAGGGGTACACCCTACTGCCAGGTCCGTCTCGGCCTTACCCTCGTCCTGGCCTCCTGGTCTGCCTTTTGGGGGCCAATGGCCTTGAAGGCAGTTGTTGGCTTCCAGGCCCTGTCCCCCTCCTATAGCACCCCGACAATTCCCAGGCCCAAAGGTCAGGATTCCTTGGCTCCCCAAGGTATTCTCAGGGTGTGGGTGACCATGGTCCTGGACGATGACGCCTGACCAAGGCCAGAGGGAGGCCAAGGGGCTTTAGCATCTCAGAAGTCAGTTCCCTGGCCCCTCACCATCCAGGACCCCATCCCAGACCACCCAGGCCTGCTCTGCCCAGGGCCACAGCTCAGTGACCACACCCAGGGCGACGCCAGCTCCAGCACCCTGGGGCAAGGCGCCGCTGCAGCATGACTCAGCTGTGCCCAGCATGGCGGTGTCCTTCTCTGCCCAAGGATTCTCACACACCCACACCCACTGGCTTCCGAGTACGTCCTTCCCGGGGGACCGGCCTTTCCCCAGGCGCACCTCCGTGTTCACACAGGACACCCAATGGCAGGAGGAAAGGTGGCCAGAGTGCCCTCCAAGTGATCTGAAAGTGAGGGCTCAGGACAGGGAAGGGAAGCACACACTTCCATCCGCTCGTCTTTCCCAATGCTTCCCATATACAGATGGAGAAACTGAGGCCCAGAGGATTCAGAACCAGGCCCAAGGTCATGCGGGAAGTCTAAGGAAAAGCCAGGCCTGATCCTGGCATAAAGTGTATCCAAAGTGGGAAAGGGCCAGCCAGCCAGCCCAGAGAGGGGCCGGAAGGAGCTTTCTTCAGACCGTCCAGGGTTCCTTGCGGTGTCCTTCACTTCGAACAGACTCCCCCACCCAGCCTCCCAAAGTGAAGGGCAAACTCTGAAAAATGCCTTACGGTATATCAAAGCATCACCTGGGCCCCCAGAGAACAGGTCATCCCACTACACCCATGGGGCCAGTGACCCTGTGACTGCAAATGGGTCAGGGGTTTGCCCCGCAGCTGCGGCCTGCACAGAACATCTGGCCTCCACTTACAACAGGCAGGGGTTGGTAGGGGGGTCCCGGGGAGGACCCCTGGAGCATCCGCCTCTGCTGTTTCTTTCCAGTGAGCAAGGGTCTGCGAGACTCAGAGGCTGGGCCAGCACAGACAGGCCCGACCCCCCTGGACACGCCCTGTCACGCATGTGCTCCGCGTGCCAGCCCCAAGCCAGGCTAGCAGCTATTTTAGGGCCCCCTCCAGGCCCACAGACAAGACTTGCCCGTTGGGGTCTTGAGGGAGCTCCCAGAGGACATCCTACAAGGACAGAGGGCAATGGGTGCCCCCTGGGCGCTGGGACAGAGCTGGCACCAGGCCCTAGGGCCCATGCCTTCCCAGGACGGTGGCATGTGAACACATGCGCACCGGCTGGCCCGGGCAGGGTGCGTGGGCGAGCGGACAGGGTGTGTCCTACATCACCTCGCCTCTAAGCCCGGGCACCTGTTGGGTACTGCCCTCCAGCTCGGGCTGGCATGGGCAGGGCTGCCAGAGGACACCCCTCCTGCCAAGGGTCCCACACATCCCAGCCTCACGCTCATATACCATCAGCCATGGACAGGCAGCTGGTTGGGGCTGGGGCAGAGGGGACAGGTGACAGGGAGCCAACTGCACCTCCAAGGCATTCAAGAGGCCACTCACTGGGTCTGGGCCTGGCTGGGTTGCATAGGACAGTCAGCGTACGGCTGGGGGCTTTGGTAGCAGTCAAGTCCGGTGCTGGGGTCAGAGGTCAGTCTGGGGCTAGGATGAAGGGGTCAGAGTTCAGTCTGGGTGCTTTCACCCTCTTCCTGCCTCCCGAGGGCACGGGGACCCCAAGCTACGCAGGGCTGGGGAGTCAGCCCTCCAGGAATCTCCCAAACCTGGCCCCCTTCCTATGAATGAGCCCTTCTCCACTGGGCCAGAAGGAGTGGGAAGGGAGGAGAGGGTCCCCCAAGTCCTCCTAAGCCCAGGCTGTACTGCTGGGCCCCAGCCCTCTCCTCTGTGGAAGGCCTTCCCCTCACTCACTGGCTGACATGTCAAAAACTTGAACCACTGTCTCCCACCCGCATCCACAGAACTCTGGGAGACCCCGACCTACAAAGCCCAGACATGCACCCCCAGAGGCCATTCCCTCCACCCCAAGCGAGGCACATACCCTCCCACCCTGCGGCCAACTCCTGCCCACCTCGACCTGCGCCGGTCGCGTTGGGACCCGTCCTCCCCACCACACTCGCAGGAGTCTCCTGGGGGGGGAGTGGTTGGGGGGGTGGCCGCGGCGGGTCCCAGGGGACGGGGTAGAGGTGGGCCGCCCTTCCCCCGCTCTGTAGGGGGCGCCCCGGGACTCCGTCGCCGCCACCACCAGATACACGGGCCCCGCGGTCCTCCCCCAGCCACCGGCGGCGGGGCGCGGGGCGGCGCCCTCCCCCTCGCCAAGGGCCGGCGGACCCGCCGGGCGCACCCCCACTCAGCCCCAGAGTCCGGCGCGGAAAAGTTGCCGCCGCCACCACGGCGCCGCCTCCCTCCCTCCCGGTTCCCTCCCCGACTCACCCACGGGGGAGGGGAGCCGGCACTCGGGGCTCCGGCCGCCGCCCCGGCCCGGCCGGCGGAGACACAGGCGGGCGGGCGGCGAGGCCGAAACGAGCCGGGGGCGGTCGCCGACCGCGCTCCAACCCACTCACTGGCCGGCCCGCCGCGGGGTCGAATCGCTTTTAAAACCTCCCCGTCTCCTCCCCCGCGGCCGGGCAGGGGGCGGGCGCGGGGCGGGGCGGGCGCCGCCGTCATGTGCCCCCGGAGCCGGTCCGCCCCCACTTTCTTTCTCCGGTCCCCCAACTCTGTCCCGTCCCCAACTCAGCCCCAACTTTCTCCTCCCTTGTCCCAACTCTTCCTGGGCCCCATACTCAGCCCAACTCCTCCCTCTGGGTCCTGGACTCGGGGTCTAGCCCCAGTTTTTCAGCGAACGCTCTTCCTGCTGGGATAGGGCGGGAGCAGGGGTCCTAATTCACATCGCACCTCCGAAACTCCTCTTGGCCTAGGTCCTGCCCTAGGCAGGGAGAGAAACCCAGGAGGCCGCAGACAAGGGGAGGGGAGATGGAGGGGGCATGGGTGTCACACTGCCACCGCGGACCCCTCCCTTCCCTGGGAGGGCATGGGCCTGGGTATTCTGGGGTTCTGCCAAACACGAATCCCCACTCTTTCCAGTTCCACAGTGCGTTCTTTAGCCTCAGGAAGTCCCTCCTTTTATCCCACCCAACCTCTCCTGCTGCCATTGAAGACTTTCTGACCCCAGTCCAGGTGGTCCCTGGTCTAGGTCCCCTCCCCCCTCAGGCTTCCCGGCACACACCCAGGGCCTCTGGGAAACTCCCCAGCTCCTGGAGTATCCCTGGGAGAGAGGCCCTCCCTGGATCCCTCCCTCCTTCCCTGCATGCGTGTCTGTCCCACCTCATCCTCCACCGACCTCCCCTCCACTGGGAGGAGGAACACGGAGGCATTGTTCCCCAGGACGGGGCCCTGCCTTGGGGCCTGGCCCCGTGCCCAGGTGGGGGGCCGGGAACAAAACTCAGCAAAGGGGGGGCGGGGTGCCCTCTGATGCCAAGCCAGCCTCCTTGGGCATGCCTGGATGCCACTTTGCCCTCTCCAAGATGGGACTGGGGCCAATGGCCTCCAGACCACCACCACCACCACCACGATGCCACAGCAAGGTTCTGCAGCCAGAGGACCCTTCCCAGACCTGTGTGAGCATTGCTATGGGAGACGTTTTTTCTCCCACCCTACCCCGCTCCAACATTTCCAAAGTCATATAATTAGGGCTGGGGGTCAGATCCTTCACCACCCCACTTCCCAGGCA